ACTCTGCTTAGACTCTGGTTTGGGTCTTTATGTCATTGTTGACAGTTATCATTGTGCGTTAGGCTCCTGAGCAATGGGAAGAGGAAAAGCTTCACTAGTGTTATCTTTTTATGTTATAATTGGTTGTGCCCTAGAGTTGATGTCATAATTTCAGGCGGAGGGCATGGACATATGTATTAAAGGTGAAATTTACAATTTTGAAAGAAAATCTGTATTTATGATTGCAAATGTTAAACTGTATGATTAGTTATTAAAGATTAGAAATGCACCATAATAATCTTTTGTTTTGGTCTTTGAGCTTGGTCTCATGGATGAATAGTAACACCATTGTTAGGATTTGTTTTTTGTTCTCTCCCCCTCCCCCTTTTGTTGCAAAGCTTGAGTGTGGCAGGGGGCGTGGCTGGCTTCTTCCAGAGCAGATGAGACACACCTGCAATCAACTCCTTCTTCAGCCTCTGTATTTAGCCCTTGTCTTCTCACCAACACTTTGCCAGATAATTCTGTCCTGTTTGGTAGAGTTCTATCAGGCTCTTGGATATGTGTCCGTTTTGCTTGCTGCTTGTCTTGGACTTACCTGTTCCTGTTTTCACCCAGGTGTCTCTGTGGTTGTCTGCCATTGCCTCTGGAGAAGTCAGCCAGCTCCCTGCCTCCTCAGCCTGCCTTCTGTTTGTAAAATAAACTGTTGGAAACTTGACTGAGTCCTGGCTCTGCTTTGGGGTCCCTCTTGCCAAACCTTAACAACCACTTTCTGAACCTTTAAGGCTAATTAAAGTATCTGTTTTTACTATTAACTCTTCAAGTGTAAACAGTAAGGACCTTATAGTGAAGTAGTCTGTGGTAAAATCAATTACAGGCTCCAGTGTCAGGCTAAGGCCACAGAGGGTGCCATCTTAAGGCTCTACTCCCATAAGGGCAACAGGGACACAGCACATGCCCTGGTTTGTTTACTGATAATAAACACTGTCCTATAGGTCTTAACAGTGAGAAGGGCTGACTTATAATTTGGTCTGCTAAGCTTATCAGAAGAGCCAGCAGTCAGCCATTCTCCATCAGGCCTTATCTGTCCACGCAGTGAGCCTCGTCCTGTCCACTGTCTCCTACTACCACCCCCATACACATGCACACAAACACCTGGAGCATGATATGCTAATGTTTAGGATAGTTTAAAAATAAAATACTAATACTTCCACACAAAAAAGAACAGGATTTTCACACAAGAAAATTTAATTCTGGCAACCTTTTTTTTTTTTTTTAGTTTAACTGAAGCAGTTCTTGAGATGAGGGAATTTCAAGTTTTGCATCAACATTTCAGTCAGTCACCTTTGTGTCTCAGTCAAAGGTCTCAGTTTAACAGGAGGAGATAGGGTCATCTGTGTCAGGGTAGTTCGAGGAGAGGATGTGCCAAAAGTGTAACTCCTCTGTGTCCTGCAGCCCGAGCATCACAGCATTGTCCAAGGGGAACCAAGTGAACACAACAGGAAAGGCTTCACTTTTATCCCACTCTGGTCTGATGAATTGGGACATTCCCTCAAAGTGTTTCCTCTGGAAAGTCTTGGAGTATTTCCTGTGGAAGGTCTTCTGCCACAGCCTGTAAGCCTGTAACATCTCAACTGCTTAACTAGCCTCTTGTACAGTTTCCATTTATACAAGAAAAACAAACACCTGTTGCCACATTTGCTGCCACATTATTGTTTTGATTCAGTTTTCATGATTATTTCATTTTAGATGGAATATGTTTCATCACTCATCCAAGTAAGTTGTCTAGTTCTGACAATTTTGTACATTACCATTAACCTAATGTGAACTCAAGTTTGAATGAAATTAGGAAGTAAACAAAGTATGCCAGATGAACACTTATTTCAATTTAACTGTGTTTGATATGGATCTTAATAACATAATTTGCATTGAAGAATGATTCATACTTTTGTTTATCATTTCAGAAAGGGCTTCAGTCATTTCTAATTATCAATGATCTTTTAATTGAGAAGCCATTCAAAGTTTTGTTAGTAAATGAAATGTGATGAGTTCAGAGTTAGTTTTTTGTTTAGTTTTTAAATAGGAAAGTTCAGATTCCGTATTTCAAATAGCAAATTATATTTATAGAAATTGTATTTATTTTGATATGAATCATAAAACTGTAATCAATATATGTGGAAAAATATTGTCATACTCTTTTTTTCTTGTCATATCCACCAGCCCTGATTGGAGGTGTGATTACTACAATGGATGGCTGGTGATAAATGACTACACTCTCACTTTGGACTGGCACAAAAGTCCCTAAACAAAGGCTGCAGTGGTAAGTGGCTGGTGTCTCATGTTATCAGACACACAGCATGCTCTGATGGGCTTTGTCTATGGCAGCACTCTGCACTCACTGAACACAGAGAAATGGCCCTCATTGTGTGTATGCGTGTGTCTGTGTGTTTGTGCGTGTGCATGTGCATGTCAGGGTGTCAGCACGCCTTTAACCACTGTTGTCATGCAAATGCAGGAAAGGCCAATTCAAATGGACTTTATCTAGGTTTGCTCATAAAGTGTTTTCTTGTGTTTTGTTATGTTGCAGTACCATGCATACATCAAATGAAAATGTTAAAGGAAAAATGCTCTGTGTAACTCTTCTTGTAGATGGTTTGTAATGTGCTTGTCTCTGTGGAGATATTTGTTCTTTGCCTGAAATGTTCCATAGTATAACATTTAGAGTATGTACTGTATTTATTTACTGATCTTTACTTGACCAGGATAACCCCACTGAGACTTGGAATCTCCTTTCCAAGAGTGTCCTGCTGTGAGGCCAGAGTGCTTTATTACTCTGTTTTAGTTGACATCATGTGGCAATTTTTACTCAAAATAGATCAACATAAACAAGTAACCTAATCAGAAGTCTACCATACAACATGTCAAGCCTACCTAAACATTTTTATGCAAGAAAAAATACTTTTTGTAACTTAAGACGTTTTACAAAACAAGTTCACAATAATATTTTGAGCAAAAAATGAAAATAGGAAAACCATTAACTTTATCTTATCTTCTGATGTATGCCTAGCTGCTTTGGTGGAGCTTTCCCCTTCAGTTAAGTCTGTTCAAACACGTAATTTTGCCTGCATTGTATCACTTGCTGTTTGCCAGTGATAAAATCTGTGCTTTGTCTGTGCTATCTTCAAAAGCAGTTCCTTCCCTTCTGTGTTGTTATCACTCCTCTTTCCAGCTGCCGTGCAAAGTGAGAGCTCTCCATGGTGCTGACAAGATGAAGCCTGTGCTTTACAATAGATAAGACTGTACTTATTATTACATCACAGAGAGGAGAGTCCTTTATCACAACAACAGTCAAGTATAAACCAATTTGGGAAGAGTTTATTAGTGGGAGACACAAATCATCTATTTGTAGTATTTCACATATCACATTTTGTGCTCAAAGGTACCGCAAGAGGATTTATGAGTTTACAAATTGGGACTTTCACAATATGTGCAGTTCATATGGAGGTCAGTAAGGTCAGTAAAGTAGTGCAAAGAAGATAAGCTAACTATATTGCCTATGCATTTTTCTAATTTCAGTGAATCTTAGGAAATTTTGATGACTTGAATTAAGGCACATGGGTCTAACATTACTTTGTATTGCTGCATCAATAGGAGAGAGCAATACTGACTAAATGTGTAACTGTTTTGGGGGCATTATTACAATGATATTTAGATGATATTGCAGCAATCCACCAAATGTCCCAGTGTATATATATGTAAAATATACAAATGTATTTATAGGATTATATCAATATGCAAGTTATTGTTTTTGTACCATGTTTTCATTTGTAAATGAAGATCTACACAATATTGTCATTTTGCTTATCTTACTATCAATTTTCCAATATACCTTACACTTTAAATATGCAATGAATGCAGTAACATATTGAATTATAGTGGCATGAAGTATTTAGCTCAGTAATGAAAAAGGACCAAATCAAACAGAGTTACACTAGTGCAAATATCACAGGCTGAGGCAGTAGAGAGCATCCTGTTTACTGGAGCTTATTGATTTGTTTAGTGGTTCTATAAAGCAAACATGAGAAGCGTGACCAAAAGCACTTTTCTATCCACTGCAGGGATCAATAAAAATACTGACAGGGGCCTCATTAATGAGCTCTGGTGCCCACGCTTGATTATGAGCACTAATTTACAGCAGACAGAACTGGAAATATGAATGCTGGAAAAAAAACAACAATCCATCTCAAGTGGCAACTGTTGATGTGATGTTGTGCAATAGAAATACAAATGAGCAGGATTTATGTTTCGACACACGACTCTTATTATCAAATAAACACTGGTGTCTCTACACAACACTGTACAATCTAAACATCTTGTAACTGCGTTAAGGCTATGGAGGAATACGGAGGAACATTTTTATTGATAAATGTTTGACAGTAACTAGAAGTATTTTAAATATTTGTCTCTATAAAAGAAGAAGTATACCTTGTTATTCAAAGTCTGCTTGGAATACAAATGTATTTGCTAATTGGTAGCGGGATACACATATAACCTTGCGTTGCCAGTGCTCATTGGCTTATACCCACCTTTCAGCTCTGCCTTGAAGTAACTCATGAAACCGTATGAACGGTGATGGGCTAGTGTTTCACTCCTCTCTCATCCTCATCCTTCATTCTCTCTCTCTCTCTCTCGCTCGCTCCCTCTGTCTCTCTCTTTCTCTCTGTCTCTCTCCCCCTCATTCTCTGTCTCTGTCTCTCTCTCTCTCTTTCTCTCTCTCTCTCTCTCTCTCTTTGGGCTGCCTCGCATGCACTTAGTGTTTTGTGGTCTCACCGCTTACAGTACATGGCAGTGTACAGTTTAGCCAAATAAAAGCTCCACTGGCCGGGCCGTGGGACACAGAGACAGGACACTTTTATCTGCTCATGGATCGTCTGAGCCGGACCGTCTGAGTAAGCGGACCAATTAAACTCACATGTGCGTAAAGCCCGCGTCCTGTGCGTGCTCTCGCCTCCTTTGGGACTACAATGAGGAAAAAGATGCGAATATTTCATACAGTTTGTCTCCCAAAGTATGTGTTCCCAGTCTTGAGCCGCTGGAGCGTGTGTTACGCAGCATTTCTATGTATAGTATTGGCTTTAGCGCGGGCGGAAGATGACTGTCCCGTGTCGTGCGTGTGCGCAAAAGAGTCTGGTTCCGTGACCTGCAGGGACGGAGAGGACTCCGGGGAAATGCCCGTGGATCTCCCGGAGTGGACGTCCAGTTTGACAGTCCAGGGTAAAAACATGTCAACTCTACGTCGCGGTGTTTTTCTGGACAACACGACAGAGTTGGAAATAACTTCTTTATGTCTGTCCTACAACGGGATACAAACTATTGAACCATACGCTTTTCTCGGACTGTCCCGTCTGCACCTGCTGGACTTGAGTCACAACAGACTGGAGTCTATTTCCGCTCTAGCTTTCTTCGGATTGCCACAGTTAAGGTCGCTTTATCTAAACTATTCCGTTTTACCGGAGGTAGTGACGCAACTTTCCAGTGCGCTAAGTTTGCAAACTTTATCAAACCTCCACAGACTTGATCTAGCTGGAAACAGACTCAAATCTATTCCCCTCGCGACATTTGACAGTTTTAACCTACACATGTTAGTCCTGGTTAATAATTCTTTTGAAACCATTGTGAAGGAGAACGTATCGGGTTTGTATCAGCAGCGGCACATGCGCGTGTACCTCGCGCTCAATCCTTTCCGTTGTGGCTGTGACCTCGAGGCCTTTTACTACTGGCTCAAAAACTCATCTCAGTGTCCTGATGTGGGACGGCTGGTGTGCAGTGAGCCCGAGAACAAGCGAGGGGCGCTGGTAGAGCAGCTGCGAGCGGAGGACGTGGATTGTAGCCTGGAGAACCTGGAGGCAGTGTCCTATGTATTTCTGGGCATCGTGTTGGCGCTCATTGGAGTCGTTTTTCTGATGGTGCTGTACCTGAATAGAGGAGGCATCAAGCGGTGGCTCAACAACATCCGAGAGGCGTGTCGAGACCAGATGGAAATCTACCACTACCGCTACGAGCAGGACTCGGACCCAAGACTGGCCAACGTAGCGGTGTGAGCTCAGTGCTGTGGCCAACGGATTGTGCAGTACAAGAACAGGCTGAACAAATGAACAAACAAGACTTTTTGACTGTGGCCTAAACATCAAGAAGCATATTTCAAAAGCAAGTTATGACATAGGCCTATCTGTTACACCAGAAGGAGATAGGCAGTGCTTGGCCAGTTTAGAGAGTTTTAATGTTGTAAATATTGCAAACTATAAACCAGACGTGGATGAGTTACATTACATCAAATTTGGTTAAAGGTTCTGATCAGACCTGATGAACTGCTTGAGTACAGCTTAAGTATATGGCACTGATAAGCCCCACAGCAAACCGTGCCAGTGGAAATGAGATCATATCCAATGCTCCTTATGCCACACGGTGCCAGTTTTCAAAATGTGGACATAACATGGAAAAGAGGGAGACACATTAAACCTGGAGAAGGTGCCTTCTGAAAGCCATTGTGGGGTGTATTTGGGGAAAGCCCTAGAGGTGATACATCCTTTACATTAGTCAGAAAGTCAAGAAGGAACTGTATTTTTGTTATGCCCAGCTGTAAAATATGTTTTTTTTTTCATCATTCATTACAAATAAAAGCAACATTAAATGTAAAATCACATGCTTCTCTAACCTGTGCATGATTACTATATGGGACTGTCCCTTTAAAGGTCCTACATTACACAAAATGGACTTTTGTGAGCTTTAAGCCTTGTTACAATGTTGTTACCTCCTCAAAAACACACCCAGAGTTGTGTTTTGTTTCATTCACATGTTTGAGTAACACTATTACTAGTCTGTCAACATCTCCAAAGCTCAAAATAGTTCCACCTTGTGATGTCACGAAGCGGTAGTTGTCAAGTTAACTTTTACCCTTAGAGATTAGAAATTGTAGTGCTAAAATTATCCACATGATTCTAGTGAAGGTGCATGGAATTTAAAAACACTGTGCTGCATGACATGACATCATGAGGTGGAACGGAGTGAGAGAAAAGAGGAACTCATCTGAAATCTGCCATGTCCGACCACTGCAAGAGACCACATTATGGACTGGAACAATGCCAGAGTCATTCATGCTGAAAGAAACAAATACCACAGCTGGATCAGAGAGGCTATTGACATTTGCAAACAATATCAAAGGAGCCTAAATCGTGACAAGGGAGAGCACACCTTATCGCACACATGGGACGCAGTATTGGAGAAGGTGTCAGAAAATCAAGTAAAGCAAAACCAAATAAAGATTGATAATGATTTAAAGAGATAAACTCAACCTAAATATCCAGGGTTTGTGTGTTAAAAATGTGTGAATGAAACAAAACACAACTTCAGATATGTTTTTTGATGAAGAAACAACATTATAACATAGATGAGAAAATAGCTAGAATATATGGACCCTTTAAGAACAGCTTTTAAAAATGGACCTTGAGTTTGTGGCGATAAATTGAATCCCAACATGAGCCAAACTCATAAGGCAGAGTACCCTTTACTGCAGCTTTTTACATTGCACCATTTACATTGCAGTGTCTGAGTAAGTATTATGTAAGATTCATGATGTGACAAATGAGAAGACTCAGACCAGACTGTGGCTTTATTCGCACTGATAAGATGTCTCATCTGCCATTTCAACCTGGGAAACATCATTGACTTGGAAGAACAATTCAACATTATTCATTTATATCATCAACTATAGTTAAAGGTCCCACATTACTCAAAACTGACTCTTGTGAGATTTAAGTTATGTTAGAATGTTGCTGCCTCTTCAGAAACATACCCACAGTTGTGTTTTGTTTCATTCACCCATGATTGATCCCTAGAAACTCAAAATGCTCTGTTCCACTTTGTGATGTCATGTAGTCATAATTTTTCAATTAAAATAGCTAGTTAAATCGGTCATTCCAGGGCTGAAATGAACCGAATGATTCTACTTAAGGTGAATAGAGTATTTTATGTTTGAGAAAAGAACATAGCCTAAATATGCAGGATTTGTTAAACGTGTGAACAAAACACAACTCCAGATAACATTATAACATAGATCAGACAATACTGTAATATGGGCCCTTTAAGACCATATCAATATTCATAATAAATAAATATAAATATTAATAAATAGTATATGTTTAAATAGGCCATACGTTGCCATGTTTGCTCATACATCTTTGGCTGCCATGGCTCAAAGTGCAGCTCGGGAAATGGACATGACGATGAGGTCAGCTGTCCAATTTTCTAGAGCATATTTTAGTGAAACTGTCCCATTGTCGTCATATCAGGGACATTGCTTGGCTCAAAGTGAAATATTTTGAAAACAAATGCATGTGACTGAAAAGCTTACAGAAAAACCTTAATGGAGGTCAGAGTAAAATGGTGCAGTGTTAGCAGTGTTCTTGACGTCAGGACACTTTAGCATCAGTGTCAGGGGACGTCGCCTCTACACAGCACTGTGTGTGTGGGACAAACACTTTGTCAGTGTATTTCTGAGCAACAGTAATAACATGAGACACAGCTTCAGCCTGTGCTCTATTAAACTCCACAGTCACGGCTAATGGCTCATTCAGAGGGCAATGATGATGATCCTATTGTTGTGTCCACTTAAAGATATGACACTTGTGATTGGAAGAGTCCCTAGCAGCTAACTGCAGTCCATTTGTGAAATTAGTGGCCAAACTTGTTTTTCTTTTACAAGTTGCGTGTAGAATTCATAAGTAAGTAAGTAAGTAAGTAAATAAATCATAAATAGTCCATAATAAATAAATAAAAAAGTAAGAAGTAACTTTGACCTAATGTTTCAGTGGCATCCAGGTCCAACTGGCTATGTTGAAGAGTAAAGCTCACTTTTGTATAGGAAAATGCTCTATCCTATCTAAACATAACACAAAACCTATAAAAATCTATATATAAAATCTATTCAAATGTATAAATACACAGAGGAAGTGAGAGCTTCAGGGTATCTTATTTAAAAGTCCACAGCAGGTGCTCTTCAAGGATGAGGCTCAAAAGCGTTTTTTTAAATCAAGAAATCAAGAGCTTAACAATATTTACAAATTTTAAAGGTTTATATATATACACACAGACACACACACACACAGATACTAGATACAGTATATAGATATTTCCATATTACACTATTTTCTGATTTATATTATGATGTTAACTCATCACAAACATGCCCGGAGTGTTGTTTTGTTTCATTCATGCATGTTTGAGTGGAACTCACTTCCTCCTCAGATTACTGCAGCTAATAACAAATCAAGGTTTAAAAAGAAGTGAAAAACTATTTTATAGCCCTTCACAATCAGGAATCTGTAATGAATCGGTAACTATATCATGATTTTTTAAATGATTTTAATCTTTGTGCAACTGTTTTGTTTGTAAGTGTCTTCTTTGTTGTTGTTCTGTGTTATATGTGGACCACGGACATCAGCTAATGGAGATCCAAATAAAATCAAATCAAGTGTTTAGTACACAAATCCTGTATTTTTATTTTTTTCACACAAACAGAAAACACTCTGTTCTACTTTGCAATGTCATGTAATAATACAGGAAGTATTCCACTGTGTTTTAAACTACATACCCTGCACCAGAATCATTTGGATGATTTTAATGCTGGAATAGCTAGTCTCTACTGAACAAAAGGTAAAAGGTAGCTGTTGTGACATCACAAGGGGGGACAGAGCATTTTGAGCTTTAGAGATGTAGACAGACTAATAATAAAGAATTACTCAAACATTTGTGAATGAAACAGGTATGTTTTTGAAGAAGTAACAACATTATAACATGGTTTAAATCTCAAAAGAGTCAACTTTTCATAATATGCAATATAGAACCTTTAATTTTCAGCTTGTTAGACACTAAAGGTTCTTGTAAGGAACTTGAAGAATACATGTTAGCAATTGTCAAGGCCTTCATCTTCAATGCATTTTAGTCTGTCTTCAAAGTCAAGACTACAGATAACTGTCAAAAACTACTCACCACTGACTAAAAATAGCATTTCTTCACTAAGGCACAATTGACTCTATGGCTGGTATGTTACAAGCTGACAAACCGTGAGGAGTTTGCATGACACTGGCAGGTTCAGTGGCGGATGACATGAGTGTGCCTTTTGCTGTCATGCTGAATATATAGACTGAGAGAATATACATTTAATCATGAGGACAGCGGGATGCAAGGAGGAAAACATGTGCTGCTAATGCACTGTGGCGTGGTGTATTTAAAGACACAAAACAATGGTTGGGGTGAGTGGGCTTGATGGGCAGCACTTGGTGTCCTGCTGTGCTCGGCATAATTCTGCATCTGTTTGTGTTTGTACAGACTCTGCTGCTTTGAAGGGCCCGTATCACGCTATTTTCTGATCTATGTTTCTTCATCCAAAACAGACCTGGAGTTGTGTTTTGTTTCATTCACACATGTTCATATAAAATTATCTGGAGTATTTCAGACCTGGAATTGCCAATCTCTACTGAACTAAAAGTAACTGTTAACTTGAAAACTACCACTACATGACATCACAAGGTGGACTATTTTGAGCTTTGGAGATGTAGACAGACTAATAATAAAGGGTTACTCAAACCTGTGAGAATGAAACAAAACACAACTCCAGGTCTGTTTTTGAGGAGGTAACATTTTAACATGGCTTAAAACATATTTCACTTTTCTTGTGACCAAGCCCAGTAATTACAAAGATATTATCCATTAATTTGCAATCCGCTAATGGCTTTGAACATCGGCCATTCACTGGAGATATTTTGACTTTAGTGTAGTTTCATATGTTCGTCTTTATATTAGCATCTGTGTATGATAGTAAAACTAGGGAGGGCATCTGAAATAAAAGTTATGCTACATGAATTAGAGGTTTATTGCACACTGAGAGATTGAAGAGGGTGACTCCAAAAAATGAACAGATGAAAGAAACCCATATATTACAGATAGATACAACAGGGCATTTGTGTATCATTCAAAGTAAATGTTACGGAGCATATGGGCTGTTACATTGAATAGTGTCTTTCTATGCCAAGATGAACTTTTC